TGTCCTGCCCGAGAGAGACCCCAAGACCTGAGTGCACACGTGGCCACTGCACAGCAGCTTTCCCTGAAAATGGCAGCAAGGGGGGGGAAGCCTCACAGCTGGGCTGAGCATCGTTGCAAGCACGGATCGCCCGGCAGCTGGAAGGGTAGTGAGTGCTTGAGAAGAGAACGCTGGTTCAAGGACACGGAATGTCTACTTCTTTTTACTTCTGGAAACGCTTCACCTTGCGTTTCCACTGCCGCCTCTTCTACGGCTGTTGCCTCAGCTCCTACTTGCATCCTCTGCCCATAAAACAAGGTGAAGTGGATGTGGGACTTGACAGAATGAACCATTTGGCGTTGGGCACGTGGTTTTTCAGTAAAGGTGCCAGTACCAGCGTACGTGATGCTGGCACGATTGTACTTGGGGACAGCGCCTCCCACTGTCTTTCCTGTGAGGTGTCTGCGTCCCTTTCACTTGTGCTAACCCCTCAAGGAGACAGAGGGCTGCTGAATAACTACGGATGTACCCCAGGAACAAGACGTGCGGTCCAGCATCCCAGCTGGAGGAATCATTTTCTAGTCAATCTGCAGTGAACTTTAACCTAAAACAAGCCTGCTTTCAGAATTAACTAGACCGTTAGGGGGAGTATGACAGGGAAGATGCCCGATGTGCTCAGAAGAGCTTCTCGCAACCTGGTTATGATGCAGAGGGTGTGTGTCACCCCCGAGTGATGGAGGTGGCCCCCGCTTGGTATTCTTGATGTCACGTGGGTGAATATCCCCACTTACATGTACGCACACCTCTTGTCTCTTGCCTATAAACTGGGTGGTAAGATACTAGTGGTCAAAAATTGCTTGTTACACATCTTTCATGCTTAATGGAGTACTGAATTGAAATTGCTTATTTTGTGGACCTTTGCCACACCTGCCCCAGCAGGAGCCGGTAAATCACTGACCCAGGATTGGAAACTGAGTCCAGACAGGTTGGCTAGTCCTACGTACATCATTGATACAGGTTTGCACTAAATAAAATATTTACTGGGTGGAATATATACATTAATTATCCTAGAGATAAAAATTGGGGGAGATACAATTTATTATGGAAAATTTCATAAAATTTTCATAAATATTGAGAAGAAAAATAGTATAATAAATCTTCATGTATTCAGCACCCAGCTTACCAATTATCAACTCAAAAAAAAAAAACCCAATTATCAACACATACCCAACCTTTTTACATATATACACTCCCTGTGGATTATTTTGAAGCAAATCTCAGCTATCACATTTTGTCTATAAGCACTTCACTATGGCCCTCTAAAATAGTAAAACTCTTAAAAAAAATAACCATTATAACAATACCACCCCTAAAATAATTAACAATTACTTAGCATCATCAAATATCCATTCATTTAAAATATTTTTCAGATTGTCTCATATTTTTTATAGTTCTTTCAAATCAGGATCCAAAGAAGGTCAAATCACTGTAATTGACTGATATGCCGCTTAAGTCTCTTTTAAGCTAATCTCTGATTTCTCCCTTTCTCTCCCCACCCTTTGTATTTGTTGAAGAAACCAAATTATTTGTCCTGTAGGTCTGGGTTTTGCTAATTGCATTCCCATGGTATCTTTTAGCCTGTAGCTCTCAATGGTGAAAAACTGAAAGCATTTCCTCTAAGATCAGGAACAAGACAAGGATGTCCACTCTCGCCACTATTATTCAACATAGTTTTGGAAGTCCTAGCCACGGCAATCAGAGAAGAACAAGAAATAAAAGGAATACAAATTGGAAAAGAAGAAGTAAAACTGTTACTGTTTGCAGATGACATGACCCTATACATAGAGAATCCTAAAGATGCCACCAGAAAACTACTAGAGCTAATCAATGAATTTGGTAAAGTTGCAGGATACAAAATTATGCACAGAAATCTCTCGCATTCCTATACACTAACAATGAAAGATCAGAAAAAGAAATTAAGGAAATAATCACATTCACCATTGCAACAAAAAGAATAAAATACCTAGGAATAAACCTACCTAAGTAGGTAAAAGACCTGTACTCAGAAAACTATAAGACACTGATGAAAGAAATCAAAGATGACACAGACAGAGAGATATACCATGTTCTTGGACTGGAAGAATCAATATTGTGAAAGTGACAATACTACCCAAAGCAATCTACAGATTCAGTGCAATCCCTATCAAATTACCAATGACATTTTCCACAGAACTAGAACAAAAACCTTAAAATTTGTATGGAGACACAAAAGACCCAGAATAGCCAAAGCGGTCTTGAAGGGAAAAAATGGAGCTGGAGGAATCAGGCTCCCTGACTTCAGACTATACTACAAAGCTACAGTAACCAAGACAGTATGGTACTGGCATAAAAACAGAAACATAGATCAATGGAACAGGATAGAAAGCCCAGAGATAAACCCATGCACATATGGTCAACTAATCTATGACAAAGGAGGCAAGGATATACAGTGGAGAAAACACAGTCTCTTCAATAAGTGGTGCTGGGAAAACTGGACAGCTACATGTAAAAGAATGAAATTAGAACACTCCCTAACACCATACACAAAAATAAACTCAAAATGCATTAAAAACCTAAATGTAAGACCAGAGACTATAAAACTCTTAGAGGAAAACATAAGCAAAACACTCTATGACATAAATCACAGCAAGATCCTTTTTGACCCACCTCCTAGAGAAATGGAAATAAAAACAAAAATAAACAAGTGGGACCTAATGAAACTTCAAAGCTTTTGCACAGCAAAGCAAACCATAAACAAGACAAAAAGACAACCCTTAGAATGGGATAAAATATTTGCAAACAAATCAATAGACAAAGGATTAATCTCCAAAATATACAAGCAGCTCAATATCAGAAAAACAAACAACCCAATCCAATAATGGGCAGAAGACCTAAACAGACATTTCTCCAAAGAAGATATACAGACTGCCAACAAACACATGAAAGAATGCTCAACATCACTAATCATTATAGAAATGCAAATCAAAATTACAATGAGGTATCACCTCACACCAGTCAGAATGGCCATCAGCAAAAACTCTACAAACAATAAATGCTGCAGAGGGTGTGGAGAAAAGGGCACCCTCTCGCACTGTTGGTGGGAATGTAAATTGATACAGCCACTATGGAGAACAGTATGGAGGTTCCTTAAAAAACTAAAAATAGAATTACCGTACAACCCAGCGATCCCACTACTGAGCATATACCCAGAGAAAACCATAACTGAAAAAGACATATGCACCCCAATGTTCATTGCAGCACTCTTTACAATAGCCAGGTCATGGAAGCAACGTAAATGCCCATCAACAGATGAATGGTTAAAGAAGATGTGGTACATATATACAATGGAATATTACTCAGCCATAAAAAGGAACGGAATTGGGTCATCTGTAGAGACGTGGATGGACCTAGAGTTTGTCATACAGAGTGAAGTAAGTCAGAAAGAGAAAAACAAATATCGTATGTTAATGTATATATGTAGAATCTATAAAAATGGTACAGATGAACTGGTTTGCAAGGCAGAAATAGAGACACATATGTAGAGAACAAACGTATGGACACCAAGGGGGGAAAGCGGCGGGGGGGGTGGTGGTGGTGGTGATGGTGATGGGATGAACTGGAAGATTGGGATTGACACGTATACACTGATATGTATAAAATGGATAACTAATAAGAACCTGCTGTATAAAAAATAAATTTAATTTAATTTAAAAATTCAAAAAAAGAAAGAAAAAAAAAAAAGACATCAGGGAGCTAAGAGGACATTGAAGCCAGGAGCCAGAAGCTGGGGAGGTGGCCTGGAGGCAGAGGCGCTGCTCCAACTAGAGGTGCTGACTCAGCAAGGCGCACCAAGGGGCCTCTGGGCGGAGCTAATGGTCTATTTGTTGACCTGCTGCTGGTTACACAGTGTGTTTACTTGGTGGAGATCCACTGAGATGGACTCATGATTTGAGTACTTTTCTCTTTATATGTTTTGTCTTTAAAAAAAAAGTCATTTAAAGGCTTTGGCAATTAACAAACTAGGGTTTGAGGCCCAGCTCTGCTGCTTGGAAATGTGCCCTCAAGAGAGTTCATCTTTTTCAAAACCCAATCTCTTTAGGTGTAAAATGTGGAGTGTAAGTGACAGCCTCATGGGAGTGTTCTGAGGTGTAAATGAGAACTTGTCAAGTGGCCTGTCAGGTGCCTGGAAGCTGGTGGGGCTCAGAGAACAGCACCTCTGATGATGTGTTGCCTTTTTCTGAGAACCTGCTATGCCGGGTGCTGCATTTCTATCTCACCCTCTGCGGTCTGTGCCGTTTCACAGAGAAGGAAGCCAAGGCTCAGCATGGTGAAGGCCTGGCTCTGGATGGTAAACGGCAAACAGCAGGGCTGAGATTCAGACTCAGGCCTTGTCCAGGACCAGGGCTGGGAACCCTTGTCTATATGGCTGGCGGATTAGTCATTAATGGAGAATCCACTTCCAGATCTGGCCTCTGTTTCTGCTAAGTGAATACAATCTCAAGATTAACTTCTAGATTCAGCCTTGTTTCACAGTATTTCCAGTTTGCCCAGATTAAACGTACTTGTCCCAATGAACTCTGTAGAAAAGGGAGGCATTTAATCTCATCTCAAGGTGAAATTGAGAAATGCGGTAAATTAGATGGCAGATTCTATTCCAGAGTAACCAAAATAAATCTTTGCCAAGCTCAGAGGTAACTCAAGTGTTCATTAGTCTTTTTTCTTTTTTTACATTTTAATACTTGAATAATTGGAATTCATTTTTTGCAGCAAATATACGTTATATTTTTGTATTATTTATTCTCATGACTATGAAATCACACTTGTTTATGCATCCTCCATGTTCCATACCCAAACGCTTATGATCAGTGAATTCGTATTTTTACTTTATGTAAATGTTCATTAGTCTTAAAGAAGAAGGGGGGAGGGGGAGGGGAGGAGGAAAGGGCTTCCGTTTTCCAGGGCCAGGATGGAGGGGGCTGCAGTGGAGGCTGGTGACGTGATGCCATGAGCCCATCCCAGAGCAGAGTTTAGGAAGCAGCTTCTGGAATGTGCTGCAGATCCCAGCCACGTGAGCCACGTTCTGCCTTGCTGGCCTTGCAGCCTGGAGAAGCCGACGGGCTTGTGCGCTGAGGCTCGTGCGCTCTCGTCAGGTGCGCCTTTGCGGGACTTTAGGTGTCTGTCCCGTCGGGATGAGGCATCTCCCCTCAGCAAGCTAGTACTTCATGTTTTTGTTTTTGTTTTTCCCTTGAGTTGCCTAGTAAACACTTCTACTGGAAAATTCCAACCTTGCCTTGGATGAACTAAGAGGAAAAGCAATGTGTCCACACCCAGGCCAGCCCAGCCAGGCAGGGCAGAGGCCCTGGGGATCAGCTTCGTCGACGTGGCCACAGCTGCAGCTCCAGCTGGAACTCGGGGGGCGTCTGGACAGCGGCACGGAGCGAGGTGGATCCCGGGGGGCGTTGACATTGGCCCCAGGCCCTCCCCTCTGCTCTCTCCAGCCCTTTCATACTTGTTGCTCTTTGTACACAGTCCCGGCACTTATCACTTAACACATCTGTTCTCCCGACTCAGAGCCAGAGGCCAGCCCTGTTCACTGGGCATCTCGGGGGCCTACGTGGCATTTATATGTAATCAGCGCTCCTTGCATGAAACCAAATGGTGTGAGATTGACGTGGGGGACGGTCGGCACGAACCAGGACCGGGGGGAGTGTCCCAGTGTGACCTCCCTGGAGAGCGGGTAGGCACACAGTACCTGGGGGGCCCTCGCAGGCGAAATTAGAGTTATTTGCTTTTAAATGATTATTCTTTTGAACAAATTGAAAGAATGTTGTCAAATATACGCTCCGATGCACTCGAATCAGATGATGGCGAAGGTTGGTGAGTTTGGCAGACGCGGGCTGGGAAGGGGTGCAGGGTGGGTGCCAGGAGGATCCTCGGGTCTGTCCACAAGGTGGCGCTCACCTCTCGTTCTCAGTTCCCATCCACCAATAGTCTGTCCTGAAATCGCTGCAGGACAATTAGGACGACACTGCTGTGTCCGTATCTGGTTTCAGGCACCACCCCCCGCCTGCTCTAGAAGATTTCAGACACTCACGTGTGGTCTCGTGTCCCCAGGAGCCTGGCCCAGAACCGGCCCGGGTTAGCTCACGCACAGGTGTTTGGGTGGTGACAGGGTGTCTGCTTTGAGTAACTTGCTGTATTGGAACCTGTGGCCTTAGCTAGTGGGACCGTTGTCCTTAGTCTGTACTGCCGCTGAGGTGACCTGTCACACTGACCCGGTCACTGCAAACATGCCTGGGCTTTTTCCGTGCAAAAGTGTCAATTTACAAGAGAAAGAGTCTTGGTCTCTGAATTACATGAGAGGAGTTTTTAAAATGCAGACTGAACGACCCAGTATAAACAATGAGGAAAATCCTCCTTCTTTGCCTTAAACTTTCATACCATCCCTGTGGACACAAGGGGTGCGCCTCTACAATTGTTCCATTGTCAGAGAGAACGAGCTTCATCAAGTTTCTTCCCTTCAAACGATCTTTCAAACTGCCCCGCAAGAACGTTGACCAGGCATCTCACAGAACAATGAGACAAATTCCCCAGATGCTAACCCGGCCTCTTGACGAATGTCCAGATTCTTCAGGTTGAACCCAGTTTTCACTAGTTTTGAGAAAATTTGCAGTGACCATCCTTCCCCACGTCCTGTGACAGGGCCGAGCATTGTGTGTCCTACTTGGTGTAGGAATCTCCATAAAAGGGGAAACAATTCCCAGCCCGAAAACATTTAAAACAGTGCGCCTGTGGGCAATCTTCTGAAATGTCACCAGCTAACAAAAATAATCTGTCACGTTTCTGCCCTGCCTTACAGTCCATGCGCCCTTACACCCCGAGTAATCCTGTGGCACCCTGTGAGGGGTCCCGCAGATAGATTACTGTCCCACCGCGGACAGGAGGAAATGAAGAGTCAGGAGGTCAAGTGACTTGTATAACGTCACCGAATAGGTGAGTCTCAGAATCCGGACTAAGATCCACCTTGCCCCAGTCCCGGCCCCTTTTGCTTCACGTCCTTTGCTGTTTCCAGGAGCCAGGCACCTTCCTAGGTGTCAGGGACACAGCCGTGAACAAGATGCACAAAATCTCTGCTTTTGTGGACATCTTAGTGGGGAAATGTGGATGCACAAATGAGTCACAGCGTAGGTGTTTTATTAAACGGTGATGGGGGCTTTGGAGAAAAAGAAAGCAAGGCAGTGGGGCACCCGGAGGGGGAGGGGGTCTGGTGCAGTTTTAAGGGGGCTCAGGCGACCTTTGAACAGAAGCCTGAAAGTGGGAGGGAGTGGGTCACACGGAACCTGCGGGAAACACTCCCAGGCCGGGGAACGGTGCTCACCCGGGCAGGGCCGGGGGCAGCGCAGGCAGGCTGTGAGGTCAGAGGGGGGATGGAAGCGGCCTGAGGAGGGCGCGGGTCGGGGGCCACCGTCCTGGTCTTGGCTTGGAGATAGAGCCCTTACAGGGTTTCAAGCCGACGTGTGATATATTGCTTCCGTTCTAACAGGGTCACTCTGGAAGTTTCCCTTACAACGTAAATTTCCAATGAAATCCAAGGAAGCAGTGGTCCAAGTAAATGTGGCTAGGCTCACTTTCATTGTAGTCCTCCTAAACGGGACAAGGATGGGTGCCTGCTCTGGGGGTCCCTGGTAAGGGGCTCTCTTCACCCACCTGGTCTCATTCTACCCTTACAATCAGCCACACGATGTAATGGCTCTTACACCATTTTACAGATGAAGAGACTGAGGTTCAGAGAGGCTGAGTGACCCGAGTTTCCAGGTGACCAGCGACATCCCTTGAGCTCAAACTAGACTCAGGTGTCCCTCTTGTGCACATGTGCTCATTAGTGGCTGAAATGATCTTTGCAGTGGAAGAAAAGGTGATCCTTGCCCAAGTGCCTCCTAAGAAATACACTTACGGGCTTCCCTGGTGGCGCAGTGGTTGAGAATCTGCCTGCCAATGCAGGGGACACGGGTTCGAGCCCTGGTCTGGGAGGATCCCACATGCCGCGGAGCAACTGGGCCCGTGAGCCACAATTACTGAGCCTGTGCGTCTGGAGCCTGTGCTCCACAACAACAGAGGCCGCAATAGTGAGAGGCCCGCACACCGTGATGAAGAGTGGCCCCTGCTTGCTGCAACTAGAGAAAAGCCCTCGCACAGAAACGAAGACCCAACACAGCCATAATTAATTAATTAATTAATTTAAAAAAGAAATCACAAGAGGCTTTATAAAAAAAGAAATACACTTACAATAAAAACTGGCGAATATTTTAAGTGTCTTATTAACACAATGGCAGTGTCCCTTCATGACATTTGCATGTGCCATTCAACCTGCAAATCTTATTTTCAACAGTGAATCTAGTAATATGTAATAATTTTTAACAGAGGGCCTCTGATTAATCTTTGGTCCTATTAAGAAAACCAAAAACATTTAAACAGCATTTGCAAATATAATAATTTGATTTCCTTAATTATCTGATTAACAAGCAAATCGTGCCAAGCACTTAAGTAATTATCCCTGGAAAAATAACAAACAGAATCTGAACACATGAGGAATTTTACATTTTCTTAAAATGTGCACGTAAAATGAGAATCTGAGACAACTATTTAACTGCACGCTTTAAATTAGAATTTCAGGATTGACCTGGCACTCCAGCACAGAATTCTCTGAAACATAACAAGTCGGAAAAAAACCAAATATTCACAGGCTTTTTCTTAACCCCAGTATTTCAAAGATAGGTTTGATTTATCTTCATCATTTTTACACCTAATTCTGTATCTTTTCAAGACGAAATGTCACGTGCTCACTAAGGAAATGATGATGTCATTCCAAATGAACTTGGGGTTGAATTCCCAAGTGAATTCTGGAGACCCCTTACCACTGGCTGAGGTCACAGGATGTGCAGGAGAATTAGTTAGGAAGTGTGGGCCAGAGGTAGGACGTCTAGGGAGACTCGTCTTGACGGCCAAGCTGCACCTGGTTCCATACTTGCTGTGTCTGGTTCTGTACTCACTGTGCTGGTTCCGTACTCGCTGTGTCCGATTCTGTACTCGCTGTGCTGGTTCCGTACTTACTGTGTCTGGTTCTGTACTTGCTGTGCTGGTTCCGTACTTGTTGGGCTGGTTCCGTACTTGCTGTGTCTGATTCTGTACTCGCTGTGCTGGTTCCGTACTTACTGTGTCTGATTCTGTATTCACTGTGCTGGTTCCGTACTTACTGTGTCTGGTTCTGTACTTACTGTGTCTGGTTCTGTACTTATTGTGTCTGGTTCTATACTTACTGTGTCTGGTTCTGTACTTGCTGTGCTGGTTCCGTACTTACTGTGTCTGGTTCTGTACTTATTGTGTCTGGTTCTGTACTTGCTGTGTCTGGTTCTGTACTTACTGTGTCTGGTTCTGTACTTGCCATGTCCATGTCTTGCGAACAGCTTGGTTTGCCCCCTTGTCCCCTACATTCAGTTGTATGTCATCTCCTTCCTGCCATTTCTCTACCCCACGTGAATGGACTTCACAATGTTACTTCTGGCTGAATTCTAGCTTCTTTTCATCTTTTGCACGTTTGCTGCAGCCATAATGTACAGGCATTTAGATGATGCTGGACGGGGCTCTCTCTCTCTCCAAGGCTTGGTGTGACTGTGACCACAGTTTGGAGTCAGGCCAATGGGGAGACCAGGGCGTGTGTGGCAGACAGTGACAATGAGGAAGGAGAAAGCAAATCTGAGTGACCCTGAGTGACCTTGAGGCAGGCAGAGGAGTGGGACGTGGGGAAGGTCTGTGAGGTATGTACTGCCTGGGCTGGGGCTGCAGAGAGCCGGGGCCGGGGCCGCAGGTTCCTGAGATGACGGGGGGACACAGGAGCCAGCAGAGTGGCTGCGTGCGCGTCTCTGAGCCAAGGTCCTGGGACCCCCGGGGGGAGGGAGGAGTGAGGGTGCAGCCAGGGAACCGGGAAGAAAACAGTGACCAGAGGCAACGGTGGGAGAGTGAGAGGTCAGGCGCTGAGCACACGAGGGGCTGCGAGGGACGAAGGTGGGGCTCAGCGCCCTCAGTGAGGCAGGCTGGGCCGGACGGTGCTGCAGAAGCGGTCATGTGTGTGCGTGTGAGTATGCGTGTGTGTGTCTGCGTGTACATGTGTGTGTGAGCGTGTACATGTGTGTATGCGTGTCGGTGTGTGGGTTATGTGTGTGCGTCTGTGCGTGTACCTGTGTGTGCATGTGTGTGTGTCTCTGAGTGTGTGCATGCACCTATGTGTGTGAGTGTGTGTCTGTGTGTGTACATGTGTGTGTGTGAGTGTGCGTGTCTGTGTCTGGGTTATGCGTGTGTGTGTGTGTCTGTGTGTATGAGTGTGTGTGCCTATGTGTGTGAGTGTGTGTCTGTGCGTATGTGTGTGCCCGTGTGTGTGAATATCTGTGTGTGAGTGTGCATATCTGTGTGTGTTGTGTGTGTGCATGTGTGTCTGTGTGTGAGTGTGCATATCTGTGTGTGTGTGCATGTGTGTCTGTGTGTGAGTGTGCATATCTGTGTGCTGTGTGTGTGTGTGTGCGTGTGTGTCTGTGTGTGAGTGTGCACGTACTCCCATTCCTGGGTCGGGCACAGCTTTTGCTGAAGCTGCCGTGGCTCGTCCTCCTACTTGCCTTTGGGACACAGAGGAAATGGTCTGACCAGGATGTGTGTCCATCTGAATGGCCGCGTCCTCAGAAAGATCTGGCCACAACGCAGTGACATCATGACACTGGAATTCCTTTCACTCTGGAAGACGTGGAAACAGCTGCACACGATTCTTTAGGGTCTGGTAGCTGTAATTCTCCATGTTTATGGAATTTTCTTTTACCTTAAAGTACATTAAAAATACTGACGTGGCAATATAAATAACCTCTATTCTTGCTTTTAAAGCAAGAAGTCTCTTGAATTTGTATTTCTATTTAAAACCAAACCCCCAAGGAAAGCCCAAGCACACGCAAGTTCCTCAGTGCTCCATGCACCTCTGTGGTCCCCAGCAGAGACAGCGGCTTCCCCGGGGTCCCCCAGGGTACAGGCAGCCCCCTGGACCCCTCCCCTCAGCTCTGCAGACAGTGGGGAACAGAGCTGGTGCCGCAGCCCTGCAGTGTGTCCAGATGGGCAGCCCATATTCTGCCTTGTTGCCGTGTCCTGCACCCCCCGGCCGGGCTCACCACATGCACGATGGGCTTGTGGACGCAGGGATATTTCGAAAGCAGAAGCCTTTGGCACAATGACTCTTACTCTGTTTGCAGAAGAGAGTTGCCATCCACACAGAAAATTATAGTTTCTATGCATGTGGGTTTGGAATTTGAACAAGAAGTGGCTTTGTCCTGGAAACGCTTTATCATAGCTGAAAATTACGACTTCTTTCTTTGCCACATCACCAGATGCACAGAAGGCTCAGAGAGAGGAAAGCTCTGTGTTCACTGCTTGCAAAATGGAAAAGCCACATCAGGGACGTGGCCATCATCTGAACCAGCATCTTGTCTGGAAATAATTATGCCTCACGAAGAAAGCTAAGGAAATCTGCAGTGCACAAAATACGACATCCAGACCCCAACGAAGGCGACAACATTCCCTTACGCTTTGGACCAGCTGGGCCCAAGACCCTCGGGGTGGAAAAAGCAGGTTTTGCCCACAGCTTCAATTAGAAACAGAATCAGATAAAATTAAAAAAAAAAAGAAACAGAATCAAAGTCACGTTCATTACCCTGTTAAATAATGATGTATACATGAGGAGGGAAGCTTCCAATAAACTGAAAAATCATTTTTATTGCTCAGTTTGCGACCGGGATTCTCGTAGCACTAAAACCATTCCAGATTCTTCTAGTATGTTCCTTCTGTCTACACAAGGGGCATGTGCTTAAAAAATATGTAGACTTTGCAGACCCCATTCATCAGTTGGGAAGCTGAGACACAAAAGAGGCATGAGTTTCCTCATTCGGTCTGGACTCAGTTCCTTTCCCAAATCGAAGAAACTGTCCCGTCCTGCTGACCACGTGGGCAGGTTTGTGGCTAATGCACGCTGCGTCTGGGGCTGTGGGAAATGTGGGATGGGGCAGCGTGTCCTGCTTCCATGCCCTGACACGTCTCTTCCTCTGTATTCTGCCCACAAAGGAACAATGGGGTTCACAGTCCCAGCCCAGGGGGTGAGCTACAAGTCCAATAAAGAACAAGCCAGCCGCGCATCCAGCTTTGAGTTGCACAACAAACTAGGCTCTGATAAGATGGCGCCCTTGGAAGGGAGATGGGAAAACGTGTCGGTGTACCCAGCTCCTGCCGCTGCCTCAGCTGTGTCTGAGAACACAGGTGCGTGGGGAGAGGGGGTGGGGAAGCCAGGGGCTGGGGGGAGGGGGCTGGGGAGTTACTGTCTGATCTGCACAGTTTCTGTTTTGAAGGATGGAAAGAGTTCTGGGGATGGAGGGTGGTGATGGGAGCCCAACAACGTGGAGGTCCCTAATGGCACTGAACTCACGGCACACTTATAAATGGTTTAAAATGATACATTTTATGTTCTGTGTGTTTTACCGTAATTAAAAAATACATTTAAAAAGAAGCTAGTGGGGGGACTTCCCTGGCGGTCCAGTGGTTAAGACTCCACGCTTCCACTGCAGTGGGCACAGGTTCAGTCCTTGGTCAGGGAACTAAGACCCTGCATGCCGCGTGGCCCGGCCAAAAAACTAAATAAATAAAAATTAAAAAGAAATAAAAAAATAAAACCGCTAGATGACATAAAAAAAAAAAAAAAAAAGCTAGGGCGTAAGTCTAACTCAAGGAATTAGGATTCCTTCTCCTGCCCCACGCACAGTTCTGGCCTGGCAGACAGACTTGTGAATACAATGGAATTTCACTCCTGTCTTTAAGTTGCTTATACGGTAAAGATAAAGGGGTTTTATGGATGTAATTCAGGTCCCTAATCAGTTGACTTTGAGGTCATTAAAAGGAAGATCTTCCTGGGTGGGCCTGACCTAACCCTTTAACAGAGGACTTCCTGAGAAGAGAGATGTGAAGCAGCGGCTCTCCTGTCTGCTGAGCGGCAGGGAAGGGGGGCCCTGTAGGAGCTCTAGAGCCACACCCATACAGTCACAGGGACCTGAGTGCCACCAACTTGGCACTCAAGTTGAGCGCTTGGAAGGGGACCCTCTCTTCCAGCCAGAGGAGACCCTGCAGGGGCCCCGCTACCTTGCGTGTGGACTCCTGACCACAGGACCTGTGGGTTACCGTGTTTGTGCTGTGAGTGGCTGGGTCTGCAGTGCTCTTGCAGCAGCAGCAGAAGATGAATGTGACCTTGTGGTCGCCTCACCGGGCCTCTGCTGCGGTACACTCGCCGGGTACGGCCTCTCCCCGTAATCCCACGGCCAAAGGTGCCCACCCAGCGAGAGGGAAGCATTGCGTGGGAGACAGGCGCAGACGACCTTGCTTTATTTTGATTAAGTAAATGTGGAGCTGAAAGAACCCAGAGGAAGAGCCCAGCCAAGCTCGTGTCCTACAAACACATCAGCCTCTCAGACGAGACAAAGGCATGGGTCTTAATAAACACACTTCAATACTTTACATCCACTCTTCCAAGTGTGGATCTGACCTTGGGGATAGCGCTCTTCTCGTGTGGCCGTGCCCAGGATGAGGAGAGAGCTGAGCTGTGCGTGCCTGGAGCTCGGAAGCATTGAAAGGGAAGGTGGAAACAGTAGCAAGAGGACGTGGACGCCGTCTGTGGCCACAGGCAAGTCACCTGGTTCCTCATCTCTGCATCCACACAGTGGTATAATCAGAGTGGCGCATCAGCGGGTCTCGTCCAGGCTGCGGGGAAGGCGATGCACCCGGGGAGCCGAGGTCCTCGCATCAGCACTTCTATCCCGTGGACTTCGCGCCAGCTCCAAGTTGTTCCTGACGAAGCAAGCGCGTACTGGACCAGGAGCCGGCAGGAGGATGCTGGACCTGCAACCCCTGCGAAGTCAAGGCCATTGAGTCCCAGTGGCCTCTCGTGTGGGGCAGAAGCTGAGTGAGTGAATGAACAAACGAGTGTAGGTTTAACCAGGCATCCTGGTCTCTGGAGCTGGAAGGCAGCCTTGAAATCAAGGTGCGCGGCAGCTGCTCCAGGACCACCGGGCCCGCACGCGGTGCCCCCCCCCCCCCCCCCGTCTGCTTCCACTCTGGTCCTCCCACGGTCTGCCCCCATGGGAGCCCGAGCTCTGTCTTGGACATCAAATCAGACCATGTCACACCCCTACTTAAAATCCTCCAAGGCCTTCCCACCTCCCCAGCGTAACCCACGCACCCCTTACCTGTGTGTGTCGCTGGCAACCGCCCGCCTCTCCGCGTGGGGTCCCGGGCGATCTGAGCCGGCTCCTGCGGCGTGGCTCTCGCATCCCTCCGCTGGAACCCTTTCCCACCCTCTCTTGTCATCCAGGCTTATCCTCAGAGAGCCCTTCCCCGGCCAAACTAAGTGCCCCTCCCGCCCCCCAGGGTTCTCCATCATGTACAGCTGAGCAGGGTTTACCAACCGGGGAGAAGGAAAGCTGGAAAGAACCTTGAGGGGTTGGACTGAAACTAGAAATATCGGTATGAACTCATGCAGAGTGTGTGTGTGTGTGTGTGTGTGTGTGCACGCGCACAGAATTAGACATGGAAATTTTTACAGATGTCTGTGTGTGTGAACGTGGTATATATATGTATATGTGTATGTGTGCATATATCTGTTTTCACACACGTGTGTATGTACACACGTACATATACCTACACATATTTCCAACCTCTGTCAGCTGGAAGGGCCTAGAAGCAATGACACCCCAGTAGAAACAGGCACACTGGCACTCAGATCTTAGTGGGAGCTAGGGCTGCTTCCAGGGCTGGGGTAGGAAAACCACAGGATAAGCCTGAAACATCTTTTCATGCCAAAAAGTAAGGAAGCACGCAAGAACGATGGGAACGTGTCAAAAGGACACAAGAACCAGCTTGAAGGGGCTCCCACTGGCTGATTTTTAGAATAGTTTAAGCATCAAAAGAAATAATCGGATTACACCCCACTGTATGAGATAGGAATCTGTGAGTCGTGAGTCCATACTGATAAAAATAAGAAGTAAATAAATAAACACATGAAGAGAAGGGAAAGCTGTTCTTTTTTTTTTTTTTTTTTTTTTGTGGCGATATGCGGGCCTCTCATTGTTGTGGCTTCTCCCATTGCGGAGCACAGGCTCCGGACGCACAGGCTCAGCGGCCGTGGTTCACGGGTACAGCCACTCTGCGGCATGTGGGATTCTCCCAGACCGGGGCACGAACCTGTGTCCCCCGCACCGGCAGACGGACTCCCAACCACTGCGCCACCAGGGAAGCCCGGGAAAGCTGTTCTTATAGCAGAATGCCAACCAATAGATGTAGAAGGAACAATGGAAATAAATAAGTACTACTAGGCAACAATAAGAGTAATGGTTGACACGTGTATGTCACTGGGGGGTGGAGGTGTGATGAGAAACAGGATATTGTAAGAATATTGGACCATCTCCCCACAAAATGATTAATCAGATGCAAGGAGGGAAGGGGCAGACACAGCCTAACTCAGTGATCAAGGTCACAGCACCACAGCTGGGACAGGAGGGCACCATGAACACAGCATCCCTGCAGTGGTGTTCCTGCTGGTGGAGGGGCCTGTGCCCTTGACGACAGTCAAGGATCCTAGAGGTGGGAAGGCTGGGAACTGGTCCAGATGGAAAGAGCCTAGTGGGGCCGAAGACCCACTGCAGTGTGTGCTCCATGTAGGAGCCTCTGTGGGGAAGGGAAAGAGAGCCTGCTGAGCCAGCCGGTGAGATGTGGGCAAGGCCTGCAGGTGGGATGGCTGTGCTGTGTGGACTTCCTGCCTTGGAGACTCATGTGTGGCAGTGGAGGGGAGGGCCCTTGTTGCTAGGAGGTAGCAGGGAGAATATTTAGGGGTGATGGGACATGAGGTCAGGAAGACTATCAATCTACATATCATCTATCTATCTTTCTATCTATCTGTCTATCATCTGTCCATCCATCATCTATCTATCTATCAATCATCTCCCTATCATCTATCCATCTATCATCTATCCATCTATCATCTATCCATCCATTATCTATCTATCCATCATCTATCTATCCATCAATCATCTCCCTATCATCTATCTATCTATCATCTATCCATCCATCATCTATCTATCCATCAATCATCTCCCTATCATCTATCTATCTATCATCTATCCATCCATCATCTATCCATCCATCATCTATCTATCCATCAATCATCTCCCTATCATCTATCTATCGTCTATCCATCCATCTATCTCTCCATCCATCCATCTATCCACCCATCATCTATCTATCCATCTATTACCTCCCTATCTATCATCTATCTATCTATCTATCTATCTATCTATCCATCTATCAGAGAGAGAAGGTGATGAAACAATGCAGTAACATTAATGATTATTAACAACTAATTACATAATTGATAACCATATTAAAAATTTGGAAATCTAGGTGAAGGTAATTCTTCGTACTATTCTTGCTTTTCTGTGCATTGGAAACTACTTCAAAATAATACTAAAACTGGATATGGTAATGCCTTCTCTATCCACCTGCCAGGGTTTTTGAAAAGACCAGACGAAATCATGTTAAATCTCTATTAAAAGGTGTTTTAATGCAAAAATATGTAATTATCTTGATAATATATCTCCCATTTGTTTATTACCCATTTTCCTGAACAGAATGTCTGCTCCACACGAGATCAAGGCCCTTGTCCTCTTATTTCCTGTTGTTTCCCCTCCATGCCTAAAACACAATAAATATCTGTAGAACACATAAGCGAATCACAGAAATTAGCTCAAATTTTCACTCGTCATCATGACAGTACCATGGTGTCTATGTTAATAAAGAGAAAATGTAATCGATTTTCTCTTAGAAACCTTTATAATCTAATAGTCTATTGATCTCCTACTCAAATAATTACTGATACGTGACTGTGTAGATACTGGTGTGTAATTAGGTGTATTCATTTGTGTGACAGAGTTTGATCTCCCTTAACACAGGGGTTGAAGATAACTCCCAGTTAAACAGAGCGGATAAAACCTGAGGAGTAAGTGTGCGTTTTCTACTATAGACACCCCCCCGAAGGGACACTGACAAGGCCCGAGGATGCCAGGGTATCGCCCTGCTCAGAACTAGGCCTTGGGTTTTGTGCCGTTGCACGAGCCACCACTGTGAGCCTCAGAGTAAGGAAGTGATCTGCGGAGACCATTTTCTAGCAGACAGATCCTCTCGTTGTATGAGAGTTTGGTTGAGTTTCCAAGGTTGGTGCA